GATTAGTTTCTATATTTTTGATATCATCTTTACAATATAGATCTATTTTAGTCTCAAGGATTAGCCTTTGAACTAGGATTATGCACTATATGACCATTTATCTATAGTGCAAGAATATATATTCATGATATTAGCTTTACGATGTAGATCTCCTTTAGTCTCAAGGATTAGCCTTTGAACTGGGATTATGCACTATAAGACCGTTTGTCTATAGTGCAAGAATATATATTCATAATATCAGTTTTACAATGTTAATCTCCTATAGTCTCAAGGATTAGCCTCTGAACTGGGATTATGCGCTATAAGACCGTTTATCTAAAGTGCAAGAATATATATTCATAATATCAGCTTTACAATGTTAATCTCCTTTAGTTTCAATGATTAGCCTTTGAAATGGGATTATGCGCTATAAGATCGTTTAATTGTAGTGTAAGAAAGACACAATCACCTGTAGCAATCAAATGTGAAATTTAACCGTTTAGACTAAAAAAAAAAAAAAATTAGACTTTGAGCTAAGTCAATTACATACATTCAGTTGTCCAATATCACCTTGAACCAATAAGAGTAATTGTGATCTTCTTACACCAAAAATAAATAGTCTTATTGTGTACTTTTACCTTTTCGGTACCACTCTTCATATTCTCATGTTAACACCAAAAATAAATAGTCTTATTGCATATGGGTTTTGTACAATGTTCTATCATACACCATTATCCAGCCTCTCACTTTCCTTAAGAAACAAGAATTAGAAGAATGTAATCAAGAGTAGTTTGATGCGCTTAACGTTTCTTTGCTTCCTTTTCAGCCTGCAAACAAAATAAATATAAATGTCATTAGAACTGGTTGACACTAGTTGCAAATCGTGATTATCCAAGTCGAATTGATTTTATGATTCCCAATTGATTGTTTTAAATTCTCTTCTTTTTTTGTGTTAAGGATTGATTGCTTTGATAAACCACGTCATACAGCAAAGGTTTTACCGATGAAATTGTATATAGATTATTTGGCCACTTAAAGCAAAACCCCATCACTTAATTGTGCATGATTCTCCAACTGTAGTTGATTTTATAAATGCCAATTGAGTTATTCCATATAGATCGTATAGATTGTATGGTCACTTAAAAGCAAACCCCATCATTAGGGGTGTTAATGGGTTGGATCGAGTCGGGTCTAAGTTTGGGTCTGGCCCGACCCCAACTTAGAATCCAACCCCGACTTTGTGTCGTGTCTAGGTCATACTAACCCCGACCCAACCCGACAAGGAATGGAGATAAACGAAAGGTCAATTTTATTAGAGCCATTTATAATATATAAATAAAGGTGTGGTTTCCATAAGGTTGCAACCTTAAACAATCCATTTAAGGCGCACCATCAAATTTTATCATAACATGTAATTTTAATGTAAAATATTTTTAAGATTACCTCAAAATCTATTTTCAAATCTATTTTCAAATCTAAATTATAAAATTTTAAACTCAAAAAATTATTAAAATCAAGTAGATTTATAAACGTATCAAAATCTTGAAAATGGACGGTCTAGATAATGTATTATGAGATGCACCATTTCTGGGACTTAAAATCCCTTTTTTTTCATAGTTTTACATCTCAATGTCGAGATGATCAATTAGAAGGCATTTCAAAATTAAAAGACACTTTACCGATGGATTTTTGAGGTGCATCCATAGTTCTTCATTTTAAGGTTGCAACCTTATATAAACTTTTCCCTATCAATAATGTTGTAATATAAATTTGTGTACGTGTAAATCGTAATATTTGGGGCAGCAATGAGCCCGCCCTGGAACAACCCTGGCCCTAGCCCTGTCTAGTACCTATAGGGCTAGCCGTGGCTAGTCAAGTATAGGCTAGGACAAATATAATAAAAGTAAACAAAATAAAGACAATAAGAAAAAAAGGGCTGGGTCGACATTGTCACAGCTAGGTCCTCTCTCGAGGCTGTTTTCGCCAGGCCCTTGGGCCACATTTTGTGGCCCAGACCCTAGTTTTTTTATGGATGGGCCAATGTGTGTCTATCGTATTGAGTCGGGTTTGCTTGATAATCGGAACTCGGGCTGACCTGATAGGGTCCAAGATGGACCTAGACTCAAACCTGAACCAGGTCATATCCAAATTATATAGTGTCCATCATTTGAGTCCAGACCTAGATCTGTGTTAGTGGGCCGTCAAGTCGGCATGTCAACCCGACCCAATTACCACCCCTACAAGCCATCATCTAAGTTTGCATGAGAATATTGTGTATTTTGGCCAACATTGCCAAACTGAAGATTGTGCATATTTTGCAAGCTTCGATCATCACATTTGCTCACAAAAAAACGTTTATGTCATGCTTACCGCTTTAACGACCTTCTCAAACGCATCGGAACCGTATTTGGCAATGAATCGCTCCACTGAGCCTCTTGCCTCCGGAGTCATCATTTGTATCGCCCTCCTTTCGCTTGATGTAAGATCAGGATTCAATTTAATAAGGTTTGGTATGTGTACCTTCACAACGTTTTCATATACATAGGCCGCCCCATTAAAAATGGGTAGTACCAACCAAAGTGAAAATATCAATTTCATGTAAGGCCATAGGGGGAACCTGCCATGACAAAATAAAAATGTTAAGAAAATACACATATAATGCATAATCAGCTCTTTTTAAGTGATTAATAGCTTCTTATTATTAAGTATTTAACTTTTTTTTTTTGTTTTTTGGGTAATTCAGTGGGGAAGACAGAGCCTACCTATTTTTTCAGAGTTAGCATTTAACATATTTGTTCACATAAAATGCATTTTACAAAGTTTATCAACATTAAATAGAAAAGCCATTGGTATTTACCAAGCCAAAGCTCTCCAACAAGAGAGCTCAAACAATGTGATCAAAGAGTACAGGACCCAGTAGGTCAGCCATTGCTGGTCATCTAAAGCTGAAGGGCTCTCTATTGCTCGAATGGAAGCGTACCTGCCCGTCGAATTTCACATAAAATCTGTTAATTTTCACACAAAATGAGACACAAATCTAAGCTTATAAATTAGAGAGATTAAAAATTCAAATCACACGGCGTCTAAAATAAGAAGAAGTTGTCATTTACTCACAGGGGATAGATTAGCATCACCATAGGCCTGGTTAACAGATCAAACATTTGTTGTTAGCCATGAAATCAATGAACTCTCTCTCAAGTACACAAATACATAAATAACTTTGAATTTTGGGGATCGTATCGTACCCAACAACCGTGTCGAGATTCCTGGCTATGGCTCCAAGAACACCCATGATGAACAGTGATCAAGTGCCCTTTCTTTTTTTGTAAAACAAATGCAAACTTAAGAACAATGCTTCAATGCAATTAATGTAAGGTTCGACGCATTCATTTATATAAGTGAGAGGAATTTGATGACTCAACCAAGCAAAGCATGTCCTATAGAGAGGAGAAAGTCTTCTTTTCCCTTAAACCAAGGAAACAGAAGAATAACTTAAGAAAGGGCAAGGGCAAGAGGAGAAAGTCTTCTTTTCCCTTAAACCAAGGAAACAGAAGAATAACTTAAAGAAAGGGCAAGGGCAAGGGCAATGGCAATGGCAAGGGTAAATACGTCGAACCTTAAGGGCCCCGGTGTCCCAAATATGACTTTTTTTTTGGTAAATGACTATTCTACCGTTGGATATGGCGGTGGAAGTATGGCTAAATATTCCATAAAAGGTTGGTTAGCCCTAATCCCATCTTTGTGTAAAGTATCACGGTATTGACTAGTTTTTTAGGGCACAATGGTCATAAACTCATAATCAATAAATAAACAAAATTTAATGGGGTAGGGAAAGAATTTGACCATAGGGCTCGCAATGGACTAGGCGGCCGGATAGGCCCAGCTTGGTCAGCCCTGCCCAAAAAAAATAGGGTGTGAGCCACAGACTATGGCCTGAGGGCAGTGCTAAAGCTAGTGCTGGCCAGGCCCCCCTTTTTTTATCATTTCTTTTATTTATTTATTTTATCTGGCTTGGCCTTGACCATGTTAGGACCGGGCTAGGCCAGGTTGGACTAACCTTATGGGAATAAGGCTCTGACCTGGCACGGCCCGTTGCCACCCTTATTCGGCAATGGGGATGATGGGTTTGGACATTTGATCCTTTCCTAAATGTTGGGGGCTTGTTGTTGATTAAAGATGGAAAAGTGGGCCCCTCTGTCAATGGGGTTCCATTGTATTCCCCGCTGCCTTTCGTCGATGTTGCTTGACCATTTTTGGGAGAGTATCATTTCTTGATTTTTGTTATTGTGTTTTTTTTTTTTTATTTCTCAAAAAGAGAACTAGACAATTGAGGCCTGGTGTAATTAAAAGGTTCAGGTGGTGGTGATACTTTTCCTAGAACCAAAGAAAAGCATGATCATAAATAAATAACTAACATCCACTTCCCTCGTGAAAGAATATCAGTTTGCTATATTTTGAGTGAGCACATATGTTATCTCTCTCGGAATCATGGTTTACTTCTATTCCCTCGGTCAAATGATCCACTTGAAAGGATTGTTTTTTTAATCTGAAATTTTGGGAACCACCTGAGAATATTAGATGATTATTCTCAAAAGAAAAAAAATTTGAAATTTGAGTTATCTAATACTTAGATCTCATCCTTTCAATATTAGATGATTTCTATTCAATCTCGAAAAATTATTCGTTTCAAGTACTTATAGAGTGCAATTAGGATTATTATTATTGTTTTTTTGAGGTTGACCTATGTATTAAAGAGGTTATATCCTCAGAATTTTGGGCCTTAAAATTAAAAGTAGGTGGAATTTTACCCAAGGGAGTAAATAGACAATATACTCCCGAGGGAGTAGAAATTCTTTTGGGATTTTGGAAAACAATGGTTTGCCATCACTTATGGAAGGAGTAATATTCCTTCATAAAATATAGAGTTCTAAAATGATTGAAGTTTATGCAGTAAAAATGAAACTAAAAATCGTAGCTTCAAGTGCTCTATAGAGTTCACCAGTATTCAAGGAAGCTAACAAGCATAGTTTAATGACTATGCAGAAATTATGTTTCTAAACAATAATCTATTCTAAATTTTCTACATATACCCCAAATAAAATAAAGGATCTTATTAGAGCCCAAGAAATCCTAACTTGGAATAGAAACACTAAATAAAACAAATTTGTAATGATATTTTTTACCTCTAAAACAAATTTATAATGATATTTTTACCTCTAATAAAATAAATAACTTCTTAACAACACTAAGTATTTTTCCAAACAGATCCTGAAAATCTAAGAAAACTTAAACGACCCTAAAATTTCTATGAAACTTTGAAAGCCCTAAAATTAAATTTAAAATATACATTCTTTTAAATAAACAAATTTTTTAAAAAATAGTCATTTTTTATTACATCAGACTCTTTTGGTTGGAGATAACTCATTCTCGAGTTTGAAATGGCCTAATATGAACCTCTATTATTCTTCCACCTGAACTTTGTAAATCAAAGATCCTAGTGCTTATAGGTTATAGGTGAAAGAAGGTCAGTGTGATCTAGCCGGAGTATATAATAAATTATTTTTTTTCAATTCTTTTCTTTTCTTTTTGGTCTAGATCACTCACAAGATGTCCTTTTACAATATAACAATTCCAAATAAAACAAAATAAAATAATACAATAGGATCTCAATAACTTGATGCTATTCAAAACCATGCTTTTCATTAACAAAGAAAAGACACAACCTATATTTGGAAATAAAAGATATAATAAACAAATATGGAAGAAACAAAAGAGGGTGCCAGAGATTACCTCAACCGAACTTAATACACCCCACGCCAAGTCTCCTTCTTCTGATGTTATTCGGGATCTTTAATCTTTCTATTGATTTCTCCTTCTCATGGCAAAACCCAATCAATGCACATGGATTTCGATTTAGAACCACTCACCTAAAGTCTCAATGCTTAGGTCTAATTCAAGCCCTTTGGCTTGATCCTTATAAGAGATAGAAATATAAAAAGGAGGGAGAAAACTACTAGCTAGGGATGAACCCTTTTGCTGTCTACAAAATCACATAACTAAAACCTAGCTTGATTTAGAACCTATACGATAGATTTAAGCTTAACCTAACCTAGCTTGGGCGTACCCCCCTTAGGAAGTTTATGAGAGAAAGAGAGGTAGGCTAAGGTGGGGCGTGGCCTCTTAGGTTTCTTGGAGAGAGAGAGAGTAACTTATGTGGGGTGCCCCTTAGAGAGGCTTGAGAGATTCTATTTTAGAGAGAAAGAGAGAATTAGTAAGAGGTGTAGAGACAATAGAGGAGAATAATCCATTTTATAGATTTTTCATGCATTAGGGTTCGCCACAAAATCGTAGAAGCAAATCTTGACTGTCTATCTAAGGAGACTTGTGGGGTGATAGATATTCATTGGATCCACCATCAAGATGCTAAGAAAGGTGTTAGAATCCTATCTTCCCCTTCCTAAACCTCTTCCCATCAAATAAGTTAAATAAGAAAAATATTTCTTTATTTTTTATAATAATAAATATTCATTTCTTATTTCTCAATCAAACCTTTTTTATTATCAAGATTTTCTAAAACCACAAATTTCATTCTTTTATTGCAAGTAGGCTTCTCTCTACAAAAGAAAAGCCAACTAGCATGAGAACCCTCTCACAATATTTAGCAAGAAAAGTCAATCCCCTATGGGTGAGGCGTGCTACCCTTTGGTGGCCACTCATGGGCCCCACCCAATTGTCCCATATTTTTAAATGTGGCTCCAATAATTATAGAGGGTCCCACATATTTTAAAAACAATAAAAATGATTTTTAGATTTTTCATAAAAATCTAAATGATAAAATTAAAATATCAAAAGATTCATAAAAATTCAAATAAATATTTTAAAAATTAAATAGTATAAAATTAATTAAATTAAATTAAATTTGATGGGAATCAAATCCGAATAGGTCTAAGATTTAATCAACGTATAAGAGCACTCTACCTGCAACTGTAAACCATAATTCACACTAGCATTCTCAAACTGACCTAGTAGTTTCTATGACACACAGTCCATTGTAGGGGCTCATGATTGGACCGCCAAAGTCAATCAATGGGTTAGGGGACGTAATCCCAGTTTGTGGATTTTAGGTTCTCCCTAGAGACAAACCATGATCTGGCAGACTATGATGCAACCATGACTCTATAGTGCATAGGGGTAATTTCTCGCATATGTACACGTTTTACCTTCAATGGTGGATTACTATCGCAGTATGATTATCTATGTACATACTGTATGATGATACAACGATGATATTTTAGTCATGTCTCTATAGACTATTCATCACATATAAGGGTCACACAGTTCCTCAGCTCTCATCCAGGCATACTCCAACCTCATCAAAGGTTAACCCACTAAACCCTCCTCGATTACATCTCTATATGTAGGTACCATGGGTTTTCCAACTCGATTAGCCTAGCACATCAATCTTAGTCCGAGTATCGACAAGAGGACTACATTCTTACTGAGTTTATGTTTCAATATATACAATGCTCATATAAACTCTCATAAGGCCTTTAAAGGCTACATAAACCCAACAATAGATAGCTGTGAAAAATCCTCTAGGATTTGATCTTGATATGTATGTTAAAAACTTGATTCAAACATATCGAATTCAATTATCCCAGAATTTGCACATAAAACTTCTATCTCACCTTCAACTTCTGCAACTTTAGGAAGCCTAATTAATCTTGAGTACTCGTCATTGATGACTTCTTCCATGTAAGAAACAGAATTACCCATGGCCTGGAAGCCTACAGGTTTCCTTTTTATGACTTCCAAAGCAAATAGAATCCCTAGAGTTTTTTTGGTTCACATTACCATCTAGAGTATTCTGGTCCTTCTCACCATCTAGGGCTTCTTCCTTTCTAAAATCTATTCTCTCCTCAATATCCCCAAGACAAAGAGTCTTAATTTCTTCTAACTCTTTTCGCTTATTCTTTATAAAAAATTAGGTCACCCACATGATCTTCTTTATTATAGATCGAATCAACTATGAGATTAAAAAGGGTTATTTAACTTAAAAATGGTAAGACCTACTTTTAATCGAAATTCTCCCATGCTGGTTCTTTATTAAAAATAGGATTGCCCACCAGATCAAGAAAGGGTTACCCAACCTGAATTTAGAAAATATACCATGATCCTCAAGTACAACGACATTGGCTCTCATCTATGAAGTTGATTGAAATCCATTGAACATGATCCATCACTATGTTTGGAACCAGTTTTGTAATGATCATGAATGACTAAACTATTAGATTTAGAGAAGATAGAAGAGCTAAAACATAGTCCAGAAAGAAACAATCTTGATTCTTTCTAATGTTAAAAGA